TTGACCAACCTAAAACCCACCACACCCTGGTAGTGCCGCCACTGTTTGTTCGCGACTGCTTATTTGTTGCGGTATACCACAACTTATTCACAGCTAACTTTCTTTTGTGAAGGTATCCCCCTATCTACAACCCAGGGACGCACCGGGTAGCATTCAGTTCTGCTTAACCCGATGATATAGGTTGTGGTTGTTGAGGCACTTGGTGGGCATGACACGATATATGCAAAGCGTGCGCTGTTTACCTTGGCACGTGGTGAGTGGAACATTATCGGTAGCGGGCTAATTAAAGCTTGGCATGAGGGTGTGAAACCTCGTATCAGGGTACTCACTCGTATATGTTTTGTTGAGTCCTCTGTTTAAGTGCGTCTGGCACAATCTAAATAAAGGCTAGGAACATTAATAAAAGAGACAAGTGTCGTACTGAGTGGCTCCCCTGTATCTAGTCCCTATATGGATTTACTCCTCTTGTCTTTTTTTTCAAAGTACCTTGTACTATTTAATCTTTATGTATTGACTTGATTGGAAAAATTAATCACGCTTCTTGTTATGCTCCGGTTCGGTTCGATTAACTGTGCACTCATGTGACCTTTGACCATTGCCCATCATCATGCCCCGATTTGGTCCGACGACATACTTTGTACTTTGTTGTTATTGTTCTCATACCGCCTCTAAGCGTTCCTGGTCCCTCTCATTTGTGTGTCCTCTACCCTTACCGCCCTTGGACACTCTCTGTCCCACGCTTGCCATTCCCGGGAGTCATTACATACGAACTACCCGGGATCTGTTCCCCCACCCACGTTTTCGTTCTAGTACATGGTCATCCCATCCTCTTTATTTCATGTGGGTAATGAAGGATTTGGTTAACTTTCAAATGGGAATTCGTCGTATATATAGCAAATGAAGCGTAAATTGAAAAGCTCGGAAGCACTGGACAACTGTTTTGACCTGGTTGGGTCTCATCAGCAGTGCGAATCCATCGACCCGACTGGGGATCGAACTCGGGACTTCATGGGCGGAACGCAAGAGTGCTACCCACTACGCCACCGAGCAGCTGATCAGACGGTTTTTCATTTTCCATTTGCACGATATAGCACAACCCATCCTCTTTATGTTGACCTTCATAATTGTTCACTTGCTTAACGGACTGCTTTGTTCCATAGGATCCCGTGAACCGTTTGTGTCTTGCATTGACCAATGACTGGGCTTCTTTATCGAGCACTTGCGATCGGTGTTTCTATCCCTTAAATCGTCCCTTTTCTAAGCCGAGTTTGCATTCCTTTTGGTGGCCGCTCCGCAGGCTTTGTTCTGCGCCTTGACCTGCATTTTATTTCGTTCTTGTACCGTGGAGACCGGATTGGCCCACAATTTGAGGTATGGTGTTTGTTTTTGTACATATTTGTCTGCTTATAGTACACGTAGATTACCGACTTCTCATTATCTGGAATCGGACTTGGGGTTCGTATCTACGAGTCACTCAACCACTGGACGACAGTCCGGTACACCTTCATTCACATAGCTCAAGCAGATGGGTAACCGAAAGACATTAGCCTAAAGTGTCGCAAGATGTTGCAAAGGTTTTACATCGGTTGTGAAAATTAAACTGAAGATGAGTTACGTAAGCATTTTTGGTTATTGAAAAAGGTCACTCAACAGGTGATAAGATTTGAAGCAATCTAAGAAAGTAGATGTATTAAAACGGGTTGATGACGGTAAGTGGTAGTACAGTTATCTTTCTTTTCAATGTCCATGTTGCTGATACTACGCAGATCAGTCAGTTCGCTTGCAAGGATATACTTTGATCAGCTGTGAGCGATAAACTGTTCTCTCCGAGACCTTGAGTACAAAGTGCTTAGTATGTGCNCCCCCCCCCCCCAATAATTTCGAGCATTTTGCGTCCGGTCAGATAGGCGAACCTCACCCCGTCCGAACTGTTCCTCACAGTTATTCATTTGAGCACCGTTTATCATACAGTCTTGATCGCTGTGATCTAGGTTCCGGATTTCGGGTTCCTATCTTATTCGCGCTGCCGAACATCTCTATTCCTCAAAAGAGTTTATTGTTCTTCTGTGAAACATCACTGTAGAATTTTTCTATTGAAGAAACTGCAATAAAGGATGACTATTCTTTGTAGGGAATCAGTTATTAAGGATTCCCCAAAATTGTCACTAATCTACCAGCATGACCCACCTTTTATGAAGTAGTGCTGCGATAATCTCACTTGGTCTACTTCATGGAGTTCAGTAGCTCTGAGATTCTGTGCTCAGTGAGGATGACTTCCACATTTGGATTTTCTTTTCGTGATTCACATCCCCTCACCGTTTCCCACTTCTTCTCAGGTCTTATGACTGACGAGGAGCTGGATGTGCTATCGGAAACACAACCAACGGAATATCAGCTCTATTTTGTCCCACTTGTTTGGGCTATGAATATCATTACAAAAGCTCGTCAGGAGGGGCACATTCGTTTTGATCGAGCTGTGGAAATCCTGACCGAGGAGATCACCTCATTCCGTGGAAAATTGGGTACAATTTTCGCATATGATTGGGTAAATCCACCACTGGTGTACACACAGGTAGGTTATTCTAACGTCTCGATTTAACTCCCTCAGGTTTCATACCATGTCCTCTGTGCGTTCGGAGCTCGATCTCTCAAGTTTGTGATATATTGTAGATAGAGAACAGTAGTTAACATATTTTACCTGAAATCGTACTACCACATTGGATGGACTATATAAGGGTTCATAGATAGTTTATTGTTTTCCCTTCCAAGGTGAACCTGTTTCGTCGGTCAGATAAATTCCCACCTTACATTCTTCAGTTTGAGAAAATTGATACAACCCGCTGCTGACTTCTCTGACCCAACGGAACAGAAAATATTGCGACATGTTTTTATGACACACCTAAGTGTGATGAACAGCAGACGGGGCGAACCCCATAGTCACGAGGACCTGCTGTTTAGTGGCGGAAACCGGCAACCTAAGCCCTGGGACGTGGAGTGGCAAACGAAATAAATCCCCGCTAAGTTAGGCGTCAAGGAAATTGGGGAAGTGACATAAGGATGCATTTCTCAGCTGTTGTAAAAAGTACTCTATTCTCATTTTTATTGCCGCGCATCCCATCGCGCTTTGAATCGTAAAACCTTCATTTGGTTCCATTGACCGGAAACAAGAGGCTCTTCTAACTGACGTTTATGGTACCACAGAACTACGCTGTAAATAGCCCTACCTATTGATGATACTTTTTATTCCTGGTCTCATTGCGGTTTTTTGTGCAATAACGCGTCCCTATTGAAACAGTTGATGGACTCTGTTCCTTCGGGCTGTTGTCCCATCGTGACGTGCCCCGCGGCTGTTTTTCACACGATGAGAATTTGTCCGTATGTCCTACAGATCGATATTTTGTAACGTTCCACATTAATGAAACTCAATTCTTTTAGATTTGTAGGTTATTAGTTTTGTGCGGTACTACTCACACTCGTGAGTCGTTTGCACGCACTCGGAAACGGTTATTGGATTGCCACGGAATCCGTGAGCGAATTAAAGGGCACAGAAACTTTTAGGCTGGCAATCACTGTTGAAGAGACACTCACGGGAATACTAACTAATTGTTGCAAGTTAGATGTTTCGTTCTATGAAACCTCATCTGATGCTGTTCTCCAAACAGACAACTCTCCTCGTGCTGCCACTGTCTTATGGATTTATAACACGAGTTACTGTGGAAGGCATATGGTGAAACTAGGCCGTCCCAGGATCACTGATCCTTGCGTTCTAAAGTTGCTCGTTTAGTCCTTGCACTCTACCTCTGGAGCAATAAACGATAGTGGCATCCAGCTGCGCATACGTTATGATGCTTTCTATGAACTAGAACATTTTTTCTCGAGGGTTGATTGATTGCCAGGCCAAACAAACCCGCCACTTCTTCAGTAATCGCAGTCCATTGCTCAGCATCACCTGTTTCACGGAGCAATGCCCATCTAGTTACGAGTCGCTATCTTTCTCACTATATCGTTCTCTTATCCGCGACCTGTTTACGCACACAGGGAGCGTACGACACCTCAACCTGAAGTAATGGTAACCTAAGGTCTACGGTTTAGTTTCACAATGGTCATATTTCAAAAATCGGTTTCTTGTTACCATTCCGCGGTTCATGTACCGTCGGCGAATTTCGATGAACTTGTTTTCTTTTCAACCAAGACGAATTAGCAAACTATCCTGACTCAGTGTTCCATACACAAACAGTAGTTTGAGTTCGGCGATCTCTTTTTGATCCACCCCATGGGTCCTAACAAGCTTGTGTTCTGCCAGAATGAGGAACGGTAAGACAACATCAACAACTCAGTTGATGGTACACAGTTATAAAGTCATCATCCAACACACAGTGTGCGTTTATCTCACTCAGGATTTATTTAACCTGAGAATTGTCGCGGTGAACATGTTTGTGGCCTTGGATTCATGTTGATCACAAAAAGACTATTGCGTTAGATGCTCGTTGGATACAAAGGCTTTTTCACATCAGTTGTTTGAAATGGCAGCCTGTGCCTCTCGCTCTATTGTTCTTAATCTATGTAAGCCAATTCTATGTAAGCCAACATTGTATGTTTAATTCTTTGGTCAAGGATTTGTGTCACTAAAGCACCATATCGAGATTAATTTTAGAGGTCGTTCTCAGTTGTTCTGTTTGCTTTATATAACTTAGCAATCTATCATGACCGAGCAATGCCCCAGCCGTGTATCAAATATTCATTTTGAGTGAAATTAATTGAACTATGCAGGCGGAAGCTGACTTGACGCCCTGATGTTCCGAACACTTGATCGAACAATGAAAGTGGAATGGACAACAGTCCACGTGTATCGATCTTAGCGTCCCATACATTGTGCCGGATTTCCGTTCTAAAGCAGGCTCTCCTTTTTATCATTCAATGAATCCGACCGGGAGCTCAATCGGCAAACGTATATTCTTTTAGTGAATCCTTCGTATTTCAATGCAGAAATTTGAATGTTGTCCAGAAGTTAGTAAGCTATCCTTTTTGGACATTTGGCATGGAATCATCTCGTTGTTTCATCAGGATTGTGCAGTTTATTTAGAAATTGTTTCTGAACAGGCTCCAGGATGTCCGTTTGCATTTCGACAGTTGATTCATGATTCAATTGTTGATGGTACTGAAATCTGAAATCGCTTGTATCTACGATAATTTTTTATTCCGTCCGTGAGAGTACCTTGTTACCCGGGCTTACTCCCGTCTATGAGTGGGTGCTGCATCAAATAACGTTGCTTTTAACTCAATGGTAGACGTGCAGTTTTACTTGAACATATCATGATAAATCGCATTCAGAGTTGTTGTGGAACTGTCTGTTGAAAGATCCCAGACTATTGCTCGACCGCGTTCCGTGTTTGTTTAGGTCAAATACAATAACTATCGAGTTTTGTGGTATCCATGGGAACCACAGTTCTCAGAATCTGTATTTTTACTCCTTGTTACCCCATGTTCGCGTTCATCTTGGGTTCCCCCATCAGGCGTTGTAAAAATCGTACCAGCAGAATTCTCTGCCACCCACCCCCAGCGGATCACTCACTCCTAACTACTTCCTGGGTGGGGTCCTTTCGCTAGCGCGTCCAATTGAATCCTCCTGAGGCCGCTTCCTAATTCGGCATGGACAACCAATTAGTCCAGCAATCATACATCGTTCATTGCACCAGGTACGCATAAAATGGCACATAGTATGTTGAATTTTCTGCTGATGGCAGAAGACTAGTTACTCCCTTTCAATCATACGGTGGGAAAGCGCACAACACTTTTTAAAATCCTCTTGATGGCACCCGTAGAATTTCGTCTATAGACACATGAACCTTACAGCCATAATGAAATTACTGGACATCGAAAAGGGACGTAACGTGACATGGCCATTCCATCGATCTTGCTTCATTCCGTCAAATACCATCGAAAGATCAAACGGTCATTCAGGCTACGCATTTTCGCGGTCATTGTGCAATAACGGGGTCAGCGGTACTAATTTCTTTGTATACGAGTGCTGCGCAAGACGTTTCCGGATTTGCAATACACGAATACGAGGTGCAGGTGATCGGGCAAGGAAAACGTGAACCGTAATCCACGGTGAATATTATTCAGTGATTGCAACTCACAGAACCAAACTGGTACGCCAATCACTGTCTGCCGAAAGTGTATGAAGCTGTTGCCGGGCGTCGTCCGAGAACTCGAGCGCGAGGAACGTTGCTGCGCCATAGTAACGCAAAATCGGCGATTTTCTGGCTAGAGAACGCAGCCAAGAGTTTCGTCACCCACGCTACAGTGCAGACCTTGCTCATTGTGATAGTTTTGTGCTCACCAATGTGAAGCGTCTTCCAAATACGTTTCCGGTAGGCGTCCACCATTCATATTGTGCACCAGATGTTTGCTATAGTGCGGCCAGGAACGAGAGACACTCGGAAAAAATCATCACACTTATCAAAAATGCGAACTTAATTCGTGCATGTCTAATCTTGACTTGCTATGTCTTCAATTGTCAATCTTATCACCCCGTTGATATATACGTTTTTTCTCTGGTGTATGTTCATTGTGGTTCCAAAATACGCTCATCCACTATTACAGTTTCGTTGAAGCTGACGGTAACAATTCGTG